GTTCTTCTCTAAAGGCCTTGTAGAACTCTGCGGTGTATCCATCTGATCCTGGGCTTTTCTTGGTTGGTAGGCTTCTGATACCTTCTTCTATTTCATCACTTGATGTTGGTCTGTTTAAATTGTGTATATCTTCCTGATTCAATCTGGGCAAATCATATGACTTAAGAAATTGTCTATGCTTTCAATATCTTCTATTTTATTGGCGCATAAGATTTCAAAATAATTTTTAATTATCCTCTGTATTTCTATAGTGTCTGTTGTGATATTACCTTTTTCATCACATATGCTGGTAATTTGAGTTCTCTCTCTCCTTCTCTTTGTTAGCGTAACTAAGGGTCTGTCAATTTTATTTTTTCAAAGAACCAAACTTTTGTTTTGTCAATTTTTTCAATTGTTTCGATTTCATTGATTTCAGCTCTAACTTTAATTATTTCTTGCCTTCTACTGCTTTTGCTGTTGATTTGTTCTTCTTTTTCTAGGGCTTTGAGATGTAGTGTGAGGTCATTTATTTGTTGAGTTTTTCTTCTTTTAAGGAATAAACTCCATGCAATGAATTCTCCTCTTAGTACTGCTTGCAAATTGGTGCAGCCAATATGGAAAGCAGTATGGAGATTCCTTGGAAATCTGGGAATGGAACCACCGATGACCCAGCTATCCTTTTCCTTGGACTATACCCAAAGGACTTAAAAACAGCATCCTGCAGAGACATAGCCACATCAATGTTTATAGCAGCACAATTCACAATAGCTAAACTGTGGAGCCAACCTAAATGCCCTTCAGTGGATGAATGGATTAAAAAATGTGGCATATGTACACAATGGAATTTTACTCAGCAATAAAAGAGAATAAAAATCATGGCATTTGCATGTAAATGGATGGCATTGGAGATGATAATGCTAAGTGAAGTTAGCTAATCCCAAAAAACCAAATGCAATGTTTTCTCTGATATGAGGAGGCTGACTCATAGCGGGGTAGGGAGGGGGAGCATGGGAGGAACAGGTGAACTCTAGATAGGGCAGAGGGGTGGGAGGGAAAGGGAGGGGGCAGGGGATTAGCAATGATGGCGGAATGTGATGGTCATCATTATCCAAAGCACATGTATGAAGACACAAATTGGGTGTCAACATACTTTGTATACAGAGATATGAAAAATTGTGGTATATATGTGTCATAAGAATTGTAATGCATTCTGCTGTCATTTTTTTAAAAAATCAATAAAAAAATGAGAAAAAAAAATTTCACAAAGTTTACCAAATCAAAGTGCTGTTTAGTTCATCGTGGAACAAAGGAAGGGATAGTTGATGGAGAAGGAAAAGATTCCAGAGGTCGTATAGGAAGCCCCACAGTTTGTCAGGCGGTTGGTGTGGGGATCATGGGAGAAGGAGTCAGGGTTACCGTCCAGGGGTGTTGGGTTCCTTGTCTCTGCTCAGCAAAGAGTTGAAGAACAGGACATACAGATAGCAAGCAAGCAGCAGGTTTACTTTAAAAGTGACAGTAACAGACTTTTCTCAAGAGAAGGGGCTCCTGAGCTGGGAAGCTGGTGGGGGAATTTTGGCTTCTTCTTTTTATGGTCTCTGGAATTTCCTCTTTTCCTTATCTCCTCCCCTGTCCATATGCTCTTCACTATTACTGACTGGTGCCCCCTCTGTCCCTGTGTCTGTTTTAGTTTTTCTATTGTACCCCTTGCTCAGGAGCATGAGTACAGAAGTGTCTGTATGATTGGGTCCCCTGCTGTGTCCACAAGCACTTTTGTCAACCAGGAAGTAATAGATACGCATAAAGGTGGAACTCCCTGCTGCATTCAGACATGCACATAGCATAGTTTGGTCAATTTCCTTCCACCTTCCTCCTTTTTTCCCACCCAACTCCCTCACCTCAATCCCCTCCCTCTGTCCCACTGATCTCTTCTATTTTCATGGGATTCCACTGTCCAAAGCAATACACAGATCAAACACAATTCCTACCAAAATTCCAATGATATTTTTCACAGAAATTAAGTAGCTCTAAAATTCACCTGGAACTGTTATTGGAGGAGTCCCTGAGCAATGGTACTAGACTCAAGGTTCCAACAGACCAGGTTCAGCCACCTGACCCAATACTGCCCATCAAAGAGACCAGTAGTGGTGAAGAGAACTTTAATCATGGCCAGGCCAGGAAGAACAGGCAACAAGCCTGCAGTCACCAAAGAGCTGTCTTCAAGGGACTGACAGAAGCTTAGAGGTTTTATGGAAAAGGAGAGCAAAGGCAGGGTGGGGACTCTATGGAGGGGTGGTGGTGACGGCACAGCTGGTTATCTCCTGACTGGTTCTCCCCAGGCGGCTCAGAGGAGTCTGCATAGCTCCAGGGGGCGTCTGGTTATCCTGAGATGATCGCTTCTGCTGGGGGGTGGCAGCCTCATTTCCTGTTGTGGTGTAATTGCTCCCATTTGGGGGGTGATCTTATCATGGGGTGATCTGTGAGGTTCTGCAGGTGACTGCAGATTTGGGGAAATGACTGCAGACTTCAAAGTGTCAATTCAGGCGACTGGCAGTTGAATGTCCCACAAATCTTGAAAATGTTTTGGCTACTCTTTTCTTGGTGTTCCCAGTCTTGCAGGAAAATGAGATAAGTAGGTAAATTTGTGTTGATAAACCTGGTATTACACTTCTCAGGTGATTACCATGCCTATATGAAAAGATGGCAAGACTCTGACCCAAGGTTCAAGGTAATAAAGGAGACAGATAAAAAATGAAAGCAGAGATGTCAAGTTTTATCCTGCTTTTAGTTACTCATTGGGCATCTGCAGGCCTAAATCAAGAGTAGGTGCTTTTAGCAAAGGCAGCCTTTCTAAGTCCCTGGTATAGAATCACAAAAGACCTCAATGGCCAAAGCAATTTTGAGGAAGAACAAAGTTGGAGGTATCACACTACCTAATTTCAAAATACACTACAAAGTCTCGGGGAATGAAACCGACCAACTTATATTGCTATATTGTCTGCATGTACAAATATGTAACAATAAATTCCACTATAATGTATAACTATAATGTACCAATCAATATTATAAAAACATAGTAACCCAAACTGGATGATACTGGTACATGATTGAACCTTGGGTCAGAGTCTTGCTAACTTTTCATATAGGCATGGTAATCACCTGAGAAGTGTAATACCAGGTTTATCAACACAAATTTACCTACTTATCTCAATTTCCTGCAAGAGAATAAGCCCAGAAATAGACCTAAGCACATAGGGTGGTCTATTGATTTTTCACAAGGATGCCAAGAATACACAATGGGTAAGGAAACTTCCTTCAATAAAAGATCTTGGGAAAGTTGGGTATTTATGTGGAAAATAATTAAATTAAACCCTTACTTCATACTATATGTGAAAACAACTCAAAATGGGTTACATATCAAAACATAGGCTCAAACTATAAAACTAAACAAAACAAAATAAAACAAAAAACAACCCCAAAACTATAAAACTCCTAGAAGAAAGAAAACTCAGGGAAAGTGCTCCTTGAAATTGGCCTTGGGAATGATTTATTTAGTTTTTTGGATAGGACATTAAAAGCTCAGGCAACAAATGCAAATATAAATAGGATTACATCAAAATAAAAAACTTCTGCATAACACAGGAACTAATCAATAATGTGAAACGATATTGGAAAGATATTGGAAAAATATTTGCAAACTATGTCTTCTAAAAGCTAATATCCAAAATATATGACACACACACAATTCAGTGGGAAAAACAAAACAGAAATATGCACATACAACCTCCCCAAATTTAAAAGTGGACAAAGAACCTGAATAGACATTTAAAAAAGACATACCCATGGCTTACAGGTATGTGAAAGGAATGGGCACTATTACTAACCATCTGGAAATGCAAACCGAAACCCTGTGGAGGTGTCATTTCATATTCGTTAGGAGAGTGAATATCAACAAAATAAAAGATAAATATTGGTGGGGATGTGGAGAAAAAGTCGGTGGGAATGCAAGTAAGTGCTGCCCTTATAGGAAACAGCACAGAGGTTCTGAGGAGTTGAAAATAGGCCCACCACGTGATCCAGTCCTCCCTCTTCAGGGTAAGTGCCCAAAGGAAATAAAATCAGGGCCCGAGTGTACCTGTTCTCCCAGGTCATGGAAACGTTGTTCTCAGTAGCTGAGGTGTGCGAACAACATGCCAACTGAGAAATGAATGAAGCGAATATACCGTGCAGAGCTACCCAACCTTACAACAGAGATACAAAGAGGGGAAAGGAGGAACAAGTCCCACACGGATGAAGCTCAGTACCGTGATACTAAGGGAAAGGAGCCAGGCAGCACTTCGTCATCTCCCTCCGTGGATCCAAAGACCTTGAACGCAGAAGGGAGTAGGGAGTAGGCCTGTGGCCGGAGGGCGGTGGCCAGAGGTCAGGGTCGAGCCCTGTGGCCCGGAGCGCGGTGGCCAGAGGTCAGGGTGGAGCCGCAGTTGTGAGGGATGCCTGGGTCCAGAGACCGCAGCTGACCCTGCGCTTTCACCGGGCCCACAGGAGACGTCCGTGGGGGACGTGGACAGGTCAGTTAGCTTGTCTGTGTGATGTGTGGCAAAACCTCCGTGTCAGGGCTGTACGTATTGTAGCTTGAATGTGTACCGTTTGGATTTTTTTTTTTTTTTAAATGCAAACAACAAAGAGCAACAACAACAAAAACCCCAGCAGGTCCCTAAATGCGGAGTCTCACGCCCGCCGCGGGCCCAGCGGCTGACCCCGAGCACGCGCACCTGTCCCACGGCCTCCCCGTCGGAAGGGCCCAGCAGGAGGCCTTCACTCAGACCCTTGGAGACCTCGCTGTCCCAGAACCGAGACTTCAGGGTTTCAGCGACCCCCGCCCCCCCACCGGCGGTTTCGGTCGTTTTCAGGTCCCGGGAGGTGGGTGGCCCCGGGAACGCACCGAGCTCCTGGCGCTGCGTCCGCCCACCCTGGGTGGCCCGCGTGGCTGCCGAGAAAGCGTCACAGCTGCCCTGGTCACCGCCCCGGGTTTCCAGCCCGTTTGTCAGGCGGGAGCCCGGGCGAACGCGACGGAAACGCCACTTGGGGGGGCTCGGGCTCCTGCGAGGGACCTCCCCGCCCGCTCGGTAGGCGCAGGGAGGAGGCGCCGGGGAGAGAGGCCGGGTAAGGAGAGGGCGAGGGCAGGCGAGGCTGGGGAGGGAGGCCAGGGCAGGGGGAGCGCCTGGGACAGAAGCCTGGGCGGGAGAGGCTCGGAGGAAAGAGGCCAGGGACGGAACCTCGCAGGGGAGAGGCTGGGAGAGGCGGGGCGCGGGCAGAGGGTGAGGGCAGCAGGGGAGCGCCAGGGGCCAGCGACGGGCTCCACGCCTCGCGGCCCCGGACTTTCGCCGGTCGGCACGGCACGGTGACCACTGCGCGTCCTCTTGGCCACGCGGGGACAGCGGCAGTTTCCCCAGAGTCCGCGCCTCCCGGTCGCCTGGGAAGGACGCAGCAAGCGGCGCTCGGAGCCTCCAGGTCCCGGGGCTCCCGCGGGTCCCCGCTGAGCCCAGGCACCTCGGGCGTGCGTCGGGGAGACGTGGCCCAGGGAACCAGCGAGCGCGCCCGGGGTCCCTGGCCACTGGGACCCGATGTGGGTCGAGTAAGGAGCGGCCGGGAACAGGCTGCGGCTGCTCCAGTGGCGCAATCGGTTAGCGCGCGGTACTTATACGGCAGTATGCTCGCGAGCCATGCCGAGGTTGTGAGTTCGAGCCTCACCTGGGGCAGCCCTGCCAGGGCGAGCCGGTGTTTTCCCTCGCCTGGGAGCCCGGGAGCTGGGGCACGTGGTGGGTTCCGCCTCTCCATCCTTTTGAGAATCTCCATATGCTTTCCAGGTTGCACTAATTTGCAGTCCCTCTGACAATGTTTAAATGTACCTTTCCCCCATCTCCTCAACAGCATTATATAATCTGTATTCTTAATCATGGACACTGTGATTGGAGTGAGATGAAATTTCAATGTAGTTATTATTTTCATTTCCCTGACTGCTGGAGATGTTGAACTTTTTTTTTTTTTGTATGTATTTTTGGCCATTTGTATTTCTCCTTTTGAGAATTGTCTCCAGTTCTTTTGCCAATTTATTAATTAGGGTTTTTTTTTGGCATTAAGTTTTTTTGAGTTCTTTATATATTCTGGGTATTAATCCTTACTTGAGGAGCAGGTGACAAAGATCTTCTCTCACTCCATAGGTTCTTTCTTCACATTCTATTTAGGGGACTTCTTTTCCCGAAGAGCTCCGACTGTGAGAATATGTAGGCATTGATACTTTCACTTAGCTTATGTCTTCAGCTGTTCCCACTCCCACATACTTTCAGAGGAGACATTAAAGCTGCTTACGGTGATCACTTCAGATCAAAGCCTCAGACTAGTCATCCTTAGGGAAAACAAAAACTTGTTGATAATGCTCTCCACCGTTCCTCCAATCACATTACAAACTTGTAGTGATGATCTGGAATAGGTTGAAGACTATCAAAGATAGTAAATTTGCTATTATATCATGTGGGGGTGAAAGGGAAGGAGAGAAACATTGGGCATAAGAAGAAAGAAAAAGAAAAGATAGAAAAAAATTATACAAACCAAGGGGAAAAGGAGAAAAAGATGGATGGTGGGGACTTGAGGCCATACCAGGTAAAAGGGAGAAGAGCTAAGAGGAGCAAGGGTAAACCCAAATTAGGAAGCAAAGAGAATGATTCCCATTATTGCTTTAGAACATTAGAAGAAGTACAGTCAGATGGGTTGAGGGCACAATATCAAATACTAAGGGAACAATTATTGATCAAAATGAAGAGTGACAGGTTTATCACAATGGACAGTAGACCTACTTATGGGCAACCATGCCAAAGGGAGAAAATTCTTATAGCGTCTACCTGGATTGGATTTCATCAGGATTTGGCACCTTTAGAGGACGTCCATCACTCTTCAGCTTTGGGTCCTCCTGGAGGTGCTGGGGCACAGGAGCCACTTTCCTGGTGGCTAAGGGTTTCTCACCACAGTCCCCTCTGGGGCCTGGGCTGCATGCTGGGAGGGTGCTGGGCTGTGTCTGCTGGCTGTCTACTGGTGCAGGAGCCCAGGAGGTGTTAGAGTCTGTAAACAAGTCTGGATGGCACCTGGCAAAATGCCAGAGGGAGTGGTTTGTGAAGTAACTCCAGCGAGCCATTAAGTGTGGAGATTCCTGATTAGTTGACTGATGTATCTAGTTTATGCTAATTAGATAAGCTGTGTGGAATGTATAAATACTGCTCCTGTCCTGCAATAAACGGCTCCCACTCCTGCTGCATCAACGTACACAAGTTGTTCGTCACCCCCCGGTTATTTTGCTGCAGCCGGACTGCGGCAAGGAGGCAGGGCTCAGGCTGTTGCTTTGACTGCTGAGGGACACTGTGCCCTCACTCCCCTCCACAGGGTCTTCTTTGACAGCCTGGTGGCTGTCAGCAAGCGTGGCAACTGTGATTGCAGGCTCTCTGTGGACGGTCTGTGGTGCCGAAGCGTCCCTCTGACCGAGGTAGATCACCAGAGCTCTGTCCCTGAGACTGGGAAAGAAAGTCAGCTGGGCCACCTGCGTCTAAACTCCAACTGCCTGTGGCTGTGGGTCCAGTCCTGCTCTCCTTCACTGCCTGGGACAGAGACGGTTGGGTCACCTGTTTCTCAGCCTCAGTGCCCATGGCCTTGAATCGTGGGTGTCTGCTCCCATCTTTGTATGGGCGCCCACAGAGGCTGTGTTGAGCACGGGATCAGGGCCTTCCTATAGACAGTGCTCCTAACCTCAGGTCATTGCCCCTTCTAATTTGACCAGTTCTCCCCGTCCCGAAATTATTAACAAATAATTCATTATGGTCATTTAAAAAAATTCTAATATTTGAATGTTTATTTTTTAATTGTTTTTATTTTATTTTCACTTTCATTATACAAATGAAAAAGCAATACAAAATGGACAAAGTATAGGAGAACTTGTTATCTAATATTTTTTAAAAAAATCAACACTGATTCTTTTCCTTAGGGCATTATAATTATGCATAACTCACTGTTACATATTTGTTCATGCCACAATGTAACAATATAACTGGGTGCACTGTGATCCAAGGTTCCCCCCCCACTTCCCTCTCCTCCTTCCTCCTGTTCTCCTTTCTGTATTCTACTGGAATCCCTTCTAGTTTCCTAAGATTCCTTCCCCCAACTGTTTTCTTCTTTTATATCTCTGGCTTTGAGATGTGAGAGAAAATATATGACTGTTGACTTTCTGAGTTGGGTTTATTTTGCTTGACATAAGTCTCTCAAGTTTCATCCATTTTCTTGCAAATGACATGATTTCATTTTTCTTTGTGGTTGAATAAAACGTCATTGTGTATATATACCACATTTTCTTTATCCATCCATTTGTCGAGGGACACTTAGGCTGGTTGCAGAGTTTGGCTGCTGTGAATTGTGCTGCTATAAGCAAGGGTTTGTAAGTATCCCTATAGTATGTTGGCTATAAATCTTTAGGATGAATATGGTGGAGTGTTATAGCTGGGTCATATGGTGAATCCACTTCTATTCTTTTGAGGAATGTCCACATTGATTTCCATAGTGTTTGTATAATGTATAATCCTACCAACAGTGCAAAATATTCCCCCCATCTTTGCTAGCATTTATTATTATTTGTATTCTTGAGGGATGCCATTCTGACTGGAGTGAAAATAATTTTCATGGTAGTTTTTATTTCAATTTTCCTGATTGTTAATGATGTCAAACATTTATTTTCATATATTTGTTGGACATTTGTATTTCTTCTTTTGAAAAGTTCATTTTTTCCACTTATTGATTGCTTTATTTATGCCTAAGTATTTTTTGTTGAATTTTATTCTGGTGTTAAGTTTTTAAATTCTTCATATATTCTGAATATTAATCCTGTCAGAAGTGTAGCCACAAAATTTTCTCCCATACCGATGGTTCATGGGTTCTATCTTCTTAGCTCTTAAACTGTATCCTTTGCTGTACAGAAGCTTTTAAGTTTGATAGCATTCTGTCTGTTAATTCTTGGCATTATTTTCTAAGCTTTAGGGCTGATCTAAGCGATAGTTTGAGTTCTTCTTTTCCTATCCGTATTCCTTTAATTTCTTTCATCTGTCTAATTGCTCTGGCTGGAGCTTCAAGTACTGTGTTAAATACAAGTGGTGAAACCTTCCAATTGTTCTCCCTTTAGAATGCTGTTGGCCTTAGGCTTAGTGTAGAGAGCTTTCACAGTGTCTTAAGCTGGAAGGGGAGTCACATAATGGAGTAAGTGACAAGAAGGCTGGTCAAGGCTTTTCTCGGGAGGACTATGATCAGATGGACATGCAGAAGTCTGCTAGGCAGAGGGACAGCATGCTCAAAGGCCCTGTGGTAAGCGGGGAAATCAGAAGTGGAGAAGGCTGGCAGAGCAGAAGTGCTGAGCTGGGAGAAGCATAGTACAGAGAGGGCGGCTGTGACCAGATGACACAGAAACATTCAATGGATGTTATTGTTCCTAGTGATGTGAAGCCATTGAAGGGCAGTAAGCTGACAAATGGCACGGCCTGCCTTTGGTCTAATTTACCTTTGAAGACACATTCAGCCTGAATGTCCACTCATGGGAATGGTCAGAAGCTTGGTGGATATTTAATGTACTATGGCCTGAGGCAAGTGGCAGCATGAAGTTTGATTTCTTTCCCCACATGCATTTGAGAGCAGGGGTCTGCTACCCCAATACAACAAGTGTCCTGGAAGAACCTTGGCAAGATCAGTCACAGCCTCCCTATAAACGGGAGGAGGCAGTGGCAGGCGGACACCTCCTGGAGACCGGCTCAGGGACAGGGGCTGGAGTAGAGGCTGAGGTCCCTTGGCCTTTAGGGTCTGTGTCTTTGGTTGTGGCTATATGAGCTAGCAGAAGGACAGAGACCAAGGGTGGGGAAGGAGGGTGGGGGCGGGACCCCTTGGACATTCATGTGGCCTCCACGATCTCTTCCTGCTGATGTTTTTGATGTAAAATGGTTAAGTTCATGCTTATCAAGGATTTGAGAATCCAACAGAAGAGGAACAAGGGAAGCAGGTGCCATGCAGACCTGGGCTGCAGCCTCCCCCACCTGGAGGCTCTGGGGCTGATGGTGATGGCCTGGACCACTGTGAGGAGACTGGTGGTGCAGATGGACAGGCCCCGGGCCACCCTTTCCAGGGAAACCACAATCTTACAGCCTACGTCACCTAGGAGGTTTCCAAACCAAAGCTGGCTATTGTCCTTGGTGTACCTTTGCTAAAAAGCATTAGGGTATTTGCAAAAAACAAGTGGATGAGAATGAGGTGGATAGGTTTCTTCTCACTGCCTCTGGAAACGTAAATGTAGTTCACAAGAACAAAGGTGTTCCCATCACTGCCAAGTTCTCTTAGAAACGTGAAGGTTGTTCCCTTGACTAGGTTCAGAACCATCTCCAGACAGGAAGCTTGGATTCAGCAAACACCTTTGTAAAGAAAGCCACAGCAATTGTAAGATGCATCTGCTAAAACAATTTTATGTCAGCAATTTCTAGAGTATAAGAACAGCCCCAGTATATACATAACAGTGCAGACTTTTGTTCAAGTTACTAGTCCTTTTCCTGTGGCACTCTTTATTTGTCATTCTATGTAACAGCCAGCACCATCTTGAGGACTAGTATTCAATCAAGTTTTTCACCCCAAATTTCTTCAAAGCCTCATAAAAGAAATCCCATCTACCTGTTGAAATCCGTAATATCCCACCTATGTTAAGCCTCTGCGTAGTTCATTAAACACAGTTCCCCAGCCAGAATTTCTTCCTGCCTTTTTTATTTCCTTCCATCATATTCCCATTAATCTATTTGAAAAACTCATGCTTGACCTGTCTACCTTCCCTGACCCGACACAGACACAAATTCTACTGTCAACATATTTAACGTCTTGCGAATTCATCCATGTTTAAATTTCCTCAGTGTCTGTCATTTCATTGCATGTTCCTTTCTATCCATCATTTTGGTTAGCATGACAATTTCTCAGTTTGCTTTTTGCTTCAAGTTTTGTCTTTGATGAAAATAACTTCATATTTCTGTACTTCTTAACCCCAAAATTATTCTATGATTTCACTGCTTACAAATACTCAGTGTTTTATTTTTTTTTTTATTATTTTGTTTTTTTAATACTCCTCAACATGAAGCCAAACTGCATAGTTTTTCCAGGTTGGATCCAATAGTTGAAGCTGAGTCAGCCAAAGACATCTAGGAAAAAGTCTCTTCCCTGAGAAATCCAGTAGACAACAGGAAGCAGTCAGGGAGGGTGCCCCAGAGAAACCAGCAAAAGCTCCTCCTTAAAGGTCCTTAGCAGGGGTCTGAGTTCCCCTGATGACCTCAAGGGCCTCCAAAGGAGGGCTGGGTCAGTTCTGCATGCAGTGGTGTCTATCAAAGGGTTAGGATGTGAGGGATGCGCACCTGCTGCGTGCTGTCAGGAGAGGAAGGCAGTGTATGAATTAGGAATCCCCAGAAAAACCTCTCTGTAGAAAAGGAGGTTGAGAGACATTGGGCATGATGAACGCAGGAAGTCACTCGAGAAGAATCAAGAGGGTCAAGAGGGCATTTTATGGCTGCTGCAGAACACTGGGGGAAGCCTGAGCTGTGTCTTTTTTTTCTAATGTAGTCAACCATAGGACAATGCTTTGATCTTTATCATCCCATCGGATCTCATGCAAGCCTGGACAGGATGTTACCTTTTCACACTTTACCTTTTCCCATTTCAATCTCACCCAAGAACTTATGCTAAACTATGTTTGGTTTCTGCAGAACAAAGGAACCAGGCTGTTAGAAATAAACCCAGGATTTACATAAGTTCTGTGTGCTTCAAGTGTCCTTCTGCAACCCTACCCCTCTTCTTCCTGCAAATCATTAAAGGGTTGCTTTTCGTTTCTCTCTGATGAAGGTCTCTGGCAGCATGAAGTGCAGGAATTCAGGCTGTGCCCAGGTTTGGTACCAGGCAGCCCCTGAGTTTAGGAATATCAGTTACTGCCTTTCAACCTCTGTTTCCTCCCCTGACTGATGGGGAGGCTGAAGACTGTGCCAATGCAGGAGAGAAGGCAGCACACAGTCCTAAATGTCAACTGCATGATGCCTTTGGCTACAGGCTTTAGTGACAGGCATAGCAGTTGTAATAACTCTGGGAATAAGTGGATGGACTGCTTATTGTGAAACTGGGTGCCATAAAGGTGACTACAGTCAATATGCCTCAGTACCCCGAGCACTTACCAAACCTGTTCTTCTTTCACATCTTTCTAGTAACTCTTATTTTCCCAGGATTCTCTCCCTTTCCCAGACTTTCATAGCCTGACACACCTCTCAGACAGAAGGAAGAATGACAGAGGAGGAATATTATCCCAAGTTGCATTAGGAACAGTGTCGTCAACTATTATAAAAGACAGGCTTTGCATTCGGAGAGATGTGCAGTGCCCCTTCCGGGCCTAACACCCCGCAGCTGAAGCAGGTAAGCCCCTCCATTCCAGGCCCCGTTGTCTACAGTCAAATGTGAGATTAGTGTTGCTTGCTGCATAATACCAACCAAATTTAAAGGGTGTTACCTCAAATAATAATATCAGGCTGAAAAGCACCAGTAATGATTAATTCTCAAGAGAGAAACTGTGTTTTTAAATAGAAATTATTGTAGGAAGTCCACCAAATGGCAGACCTACAAAGAAGGAAGTTGACTTACATGGGATGGCACAATGTTAGGTGTAAGAACAGAGAGCTGAAGAATGGATGCAGAAAGAATACCTCTGAATTAAGCACTTGGGGCCTTGGTAATGTAATACAAGTGCAAAGGCTGCCCCTTGTAACACAGTAACACACCAAAACTTAGGGGCAGAGACCTTGGGAAGCTAAAGATGCTGGGAGTCATAATGCAGGACCACACGGAGCCTGAGGAGAGCGGAGTATTTCCTGGAGGCAGGCAGTCCTCTGTCTCTGGAACTTCAGAGCACACCACAGAGCTCTCTGATGAATCCAGTTCCTGAACACAGGGCAAACAGGCTCCAGCACATCTGCAGGGACATCTGCTGTGAAGGGCCCCTGCATCTTGCTGGCCCAGGTGCCTACAGGTGCCAGAAGAGTGAAGGTCCTAAGGCTCAGACGCTCTCAGCAACTATTTTGTATTCACTGAAAGAGAATGAAACCTGTGCTTCTTAGGAAATGTCACCCGGCACCGTGTGGAAAGCAGGACTCATGCCCAGACAAGCTCTGCACCGGTCCTTTAACAAGGTGCAGCTCCCGAGGTCGGAAAGAGGACAGCCTCTGAGACACACAGAATGAGTCTCTTCCCTTCCTTCTCAAGTCCTTCTTTACACTCAGGAATAGAATCTATGTGAGAGGTTGTAGCTCTTGAATGAAGACAGTTAATGAAACAGCAGTTACTCCAATCACCACGTCACCCTGAGATGAGCCTTGGGTGACAATTGTGCTGTCGGGTCCTCCTAACTGAGGAAGAGATGGGTTTTAGATCCTGTCCTTGCGGTTTGTGCCTGCTGGCTGTACAAGGGGACCGCCCTGCGCTGGCAGCCTCCAGAGCAGTTCCTGGGTCCCATTGGGTTCTGTTTCTCTTCAGGAATAGAATCATTTCTCTCCCTTTAGAAGCGGTTTGGGGGGTTGGCTGGAGACTGGGTTTTGATCATCCTTGCTCAGGACACATACAATAGATAGCAGCATCAAGATTTGAACCCAAGAGCAGAGCCCCACCTCACACAGGGTGGCCTCTGCTGCTGGTCCACCTGCGCACTCCGGCCGGTCCCCCTTTCAGTCTGTCTCACTGTCTCTGGATCTCACTAGGCTCACATTTCGCACAGAATGGAAAACCGCCCAAGTAGGGGGACAGACCATAAATAACGATGGTGACCCGGAGCCAGGAGTGGAGGTTGTTCCCCGAGCTTCCTCCCTGTCGCAGCCCAGCCTCAGCTGCACTGAGGGACCAACCGCCCTGCTGAGACCCGGGCTCCCAGGCGCAGAGGGCGACCCCGGGCTGGGCCTGGCTGCCTGCGGCCGCGCACAGGTGTCTCCCAGCACAGCAGGCGCCTTGGCCGCGCGGAGTCACCGCTGTGGCGGGTGGTGCGGACACTGGCCGGGTCCTCCGTCCAGTCAAGCACCTGCCTAAGCTAGTGTGGGGGAAAGCAGCACCACTACCCCGTGACGAGGTGGCCGAGTGGTTAAGGCGATGGACTGCTAATCCATTGTGCTCTGCACGCGTGGGTTCGAATCCCACCCTCGTCGGAACCTTAGAAAGTGGGATTGGAACTCACTTCTGGCCAAATTTCTCAGGACTCCCTAACTTCTCCTGGCAAAGGAAGGAGGGTTTACACATCACCAATGTGGCCACCTCCTTCAGCTGGAGAGAAGCCCATTCCCACTAGTTTTACAAATTGCTAATGTGAACAGTAAAATTCAGCAGACACCAAGGCAGAAATCCAATTAGATTCTCAAGATCTGAAGAAGTGTGTGGCCCAGAAGAGATGGCCAGGGTTTTCATGCACCGTGCATAAGTCCAAAAAAATTACTCTTGCAGACCCTCCAGGTTCTTCACATGCCTTGGTAACTGTGCAGAGATAAAAATTCACCTGAGTGAGGGTCTGTCCTGAACACTTTCTTTTAAACTTTTGTTTTCATTTTAATAGCTGCATTACAGCCAAAGGAGCTGATGTGCTACAATCCAGTTTACCAGGCTCCTGTTTTTGAAATGTCTAGTCTCTTAGGAGAATTGATGGTTTAAGGGATTGTTGTAGAAGTAGATCAAAGGCCCTGCACATCTCTGGCTGTGGCTGATGAGAAGCCAGGTTCTGTCCTTCCTCTTCGCAGTACCTCCGTCTGGACAGAAGGGACCCAGTTCCCCCAGAGACCCTGGCCAGACTGGAACAGTGGTGATCTATACACTTCATACATAGACAAAGTGAAACAGACACAGCATATTCAAATGTATCTCAAGCCCACTTCATGGGTAGCATGGCTAGAATTTTTCAAATTCCATTTTTCTAAGTATTTTTGTTTGCTATAAGCCTATCAGACTGACTGCAAATATTTTTCCTGTTAGTTCTCAAATAATTTTTAAAATAATTCAATCATAGAAACTTTAAAAATACACTGAAGTTTATATTACTATAAAATATCCATGAAATTATCTCAGAACTTCATCTTTTCAGTTTTGAAATTCCTATTTACAAAATAGCATTCTTTAAATCTTTAAACTTTTTCTCTTGGACCCTTACCCTGCATGCACAAGTCCATAAACGTTGTGCCAACTTAATCACATAGCAAGCACCTGTGCAGTCCTGGCAAAGGCCATGCAGTGGTGTCAGTCGCTGGCTAAGAAGGGCTCCTGTATGGTCATTGTCCCTTCCCCACAACAGCAACCACTGATGGACTTTGGCTTCCATTACTACTTTGCATTTTCTTATTATTTTAGCACCAATTTATTCTTAAATGCTAATCCTTACTTCATACCTGAGCATTATATAAATAAAATCATATATATTTTCTACTTTTTGCTAATATTCCATAAGTTTCGTTTTTCTGTGTCAATGTCACTCCTCTATTGTGATTTTGTGTGGAATGCCACAGAGTGAATACACTGCGACTTATTTATCACTTGTCTTCATTATCTCTCCATGGAGGAAGCCGCCCTGGAGCTTAACACATTTATCATCTTCTCATTTCTGAGGTCAGGAGTCTAGGAGCAGAGTGACTTAGCCAGGTGCTCTGCTCAGTGTCCCTCAGGACACTGCAACCAAGCATGGGTCCAGCAACACCAAGGTCAGAGTGGTCCCTGACCTCCTCAGGATGTGAGAGGCCCTGGGTGTGAGCGCCTGCTGTTTGGGGGCCACTCTCCACTCCTGTCCTCCACACTCTGCAGGACAGTCTCAGCAGAGTGGCTTGGTCCATCACAGCAAGCCCGCCAGAAGAGCCAGGAGAGGGGCAAGACAGAGGTCACCACCTCCAAAACCTCATTTGGAAGCACTTTCCCAAAGCACTCGATGCTCTTCTCAAAGCAGATTAGATGACTCCGAGGGCGCCTTTCTCCGAGGGTGTGGATCTTTTCTCCCTGTAAACTCACACCACAAACACCCCACTGAAGAATGGGCGAGGGTTCTGAAAAGACAATTTTCTAAGGAGGACATAAAATGTCCAGCAGGTGTGTGAGCAGGTGCCCAACATCACTGACCATCTGGAAATGTAAGTCAAAACCACCACAAGTTGCCTCCTCATGCCTGTGAGGTTGTCCGCTCTCTAATGGACAATGCATAAAAAGTATCAGTGCAGGTGGGTGTGGAGGAAATAAAATATTTTTTATATAAAAATATGGCATTTTGGTTATTTTTTTATGCTGTTAGTAGGAATGTCATTTGCCATGACCCTTATGAAAAAGTACATGGAAATTCTACAAAGAATTAAAAATGTCAACAAGACAATCTTAAGCAAAAAAACAATTGGGTAGCATTATAGTATTATAGAACCAAAGCATACTACAAAACTGTGGTAAGCAAGACATCGTGGTGTTAGCATAAGAAAGACTCAGACATGATCGACAGCGTAGGGAGCTTGGAGGAACCCACGTGTCTACACCCACATGTCTGCAGCCACCCGAGAAAAACAGCCTTTTCAATAAAGCAGTGCTGGAAAACTTGCATACCCACTGAAGAACCATGAAGTTAGAGCTTCTCACCAGTTAAAACCAATTCCAAATGGATTAAAGGACCCAAAACGGTAAAACTGGTAGATGTAAACTCAACAGGCAGGAAAGCCCTAGGCCACTGGAATGGACATGAATTGTTGTACAAGGTGAAGAGACAACTTACAGAATAGTTGAAAACTATTCACAAAAATTTAATATTCAGATTGTACGTAAAAGACATAAAAATTCAGTAGCAAGGGCTATGGGTATATCTTACTGATGGAGTAATTTCCTAGCATTTGCAAAACTCTGTTTTCTATCCCAAACACTGCAGAACAAAAACATATACGATCAAACAAAAGAAAAGTGTAAGACAAAATTCAATAGGAAAATAAACTAAAACTTCAATTGTAAAAACAAAACAAAACAACAAGCCAAGATAAACAAATTCCCTGATTTAAAAATGGCATCAGACTTATGTATGAATTTCTCAGAAGAACACAAGATTGTTCAAGGTCACTAATCACCAGGGTGATGCAAATCTAAACCACAATAAGATCTCCTCTCACCCCAGGTAGAGTGGGTGTTCTCAAAAAGACAAGAGACAACCAGTGTTGGTCAAGGTGGAGAGAAAGGGCCTTACAGACTGCAGGTGAGAGGGAAAGTGGCCGTAGGTCTACCTTGTATCCAGGCATCCCACCAGTGGGCATGAATCCCAACCATCTTAAATCAGCTTACTGAGGAGGCTCTGAAATCCTACCTTCATTGCAGTAGAAATAGCCAACGAGGGAACCAAGTCCAGGGGCCATGAATGCATGCATGGATAGAAAACGTCCAGTCGCCCTCATCTCACCGTGAACAAACAGCAACTCAAAATGAGCCAAAGGCCTGAGAATTAGGCCAGAAACTATGCAACTCTGAGAGGAAAATGTAGGGTCACCACTCCAGCAAGTAGGCCCAGGCAAGGACTTTCTCAATAGGACCTCTAAATCTCGGGAAAGAATGTCAAGAGGTAACAAATGGGTCAGCATCAGATTAAAAACTTTCTGCACCGCAAGGAATAATTGAGAATGTGAAGAGGGAGCCTATAGACTGGGGAGAATCTTGCTACTCTCTGACAGATGAATATCTGGAATATATAGAGAACTCAAAAAACTTCACAGCAAAATATCAAATAATTCAACTACTAAATGGGCAAATGAATTAAACAGACACTTCTCCAAAGAAGAAACATAAGTGGACAACAAATACGTGAAAAAACGTTCAACATCATTAGCAATCAAAATGCAAATCAAAACTACACAGAGATTTCATCTCACATTAGTCAGAAAGGGAGTCATCAGAAAAACAAATAATAGCTGGAGGTATAGCTCAGTTGGTAGAGTGCTTGCCTCGCATGCACAAAGCCCTGGGTTCAATCCCCAGCACCACAAAAAGAAAAAGGAGAAGTACCCTGACACTGCTGGTGGGACTGTCCGTCAGTACAACCACTAAGGAAATCAGTGGATATCAGTGTGGATATCCACCCAGCTGTACCACTCCTCGGTACTTAAACTGAAGATTTTAAATCATCATACTGCAGTGATACATGCATATCCATGTTTATAGCAGCACAATTCACAGTGGAACCAGCTTAGGTATGTATACATTTAAAAAAAAAAGGGGGGGGGGATATACACAAAATGGCATTTTTTTTTCAGCCATAAAGAGAAATAAATTATGTCATTTGCAGGAAAATGGATGGAATTGGAGACCATGATGTTAAGCAAAATAAGTCAAACTCAGAATGGAAAAGGTGGACACTGTATGAAAAAGAAGTAGATTGTGGGGGAGGGAAAGGGGAGGTACTGGGGAATGACACTGACAAATTTATGTTGTGTGTGTGTTTAAGAATATGTAACAATGAATCCTACTAGCATGCCTAATTATAATGCACCAATAAAAAAATCAAAAACTTTTAATTTGAGAAAAGAAACATAAAAAAAAAAAAACAGAAGTTATTGTTCTTTTTTTAATTTTTATTTTTTGTCATACATGACAGTAGAATGCATTTTGATATATAATACATACATAGAATGTACATACATCGATCATATTGTCTATTCTATTCTGCTGCCCTTCCTATCCTCCCTACTCCTCCCCTCCTCTAGAAGTTGTTGTTCTTTGATTCTCAGCTTTATCTCTAAAGTGAAGATGACAAGATTTATGCAAAAACAGTACACTGGGTTTCACAAAACAACATGAAGGACTCAGGTTAGCACCCTGAAAGCCCTGCCCAGGCAGTGGCAGTCAGCACTGCAAGGTCCCCAATGAGCACGCTGAGGAGAAGTGTCTGAGCCACCTTGCTGCAAGTACACGGTTAAAGTGAGGAGTCAGGCAGCCAGCTGTGCATCTTTTCATGGGGACTAGGGACCCTCTGCAGCATAGCCAGAGGGGAGACTTTGGACAGCGAAGAATGATCATAAACCCATCAGAAGAGAAAATAAAGTCTAGGCCAAAGATAAGCACAGCTGTCCTTGCCCAGAAGACCTCAGTGTCCCTACCCTGGGAAAGCAAGGAGTGTCGTCCCAGCATGGCCCACCAGAGTGGCATCCTTCTGAGTGCAGGTAACAGTGGAGGCCTTGTTGACTCATGAGGAGAAGACTTTAGAAGCAAGTGTTTCTTTTCCAGGAGAAACAGAAATCCAGATGGCTGAGAAGGGAAACCGGAAACACCATCCTGCCACTTAGAGCCCCAGAGCTGACCAATCTGTGACTCTTTCCTAACCCAAAGGTCCTGAGTTCAGGCTTCAGAGAGGACAGGGCCGGCCTATCTTCAAGAGACATGATGTGGCAACTGCCTTATTTGGCATATAAAAGAAAGTAAATACTATGTTATCAATAATCATTAATGAGAAACAGGAAAAAGAAGACATCTGAGCGGCCACAAAACACGTTTGTTTTGTTTGTTTTCCAGAAATGAAAACTCTGAATTCCACCAGAAACACTCACAGAAGGGCCACAGGAATGAGCATTCTCCTTGATCTTCTGAGTCATCCCCTGAAGGAAGTTCTTCCAGTTTTCTCAGCTGGCAGCAGCAGAAGGAAGGACCATTACTTCATCGGTCTATTCCAAGGCTCTCTTCTAGAAGTTGGAAAACACAAGGTGCTCGACACACCCTCCCGCCAATCCCGAGTCTCCAGGAATCCATGCTGTGGGGAGGTGGGAAGTGGAGCTAATAAGCCAACGGATTGGTAAGGAACACAGAATGTCAGATCTTGACACATTTTCATGACAAAAAAAGAGCAATAAGTAGGGTCAGGAAATACAGAGAGGGCAGCAGTACAGCAGGCAAAGAAGGTCAGCTGACAGCACGGGCTCCTGGCGTCAGCACCGGGGCCTGCCTTAAAGGGAAGAGGTCCCATCCCAAGAAGTACAGACCGGCCCACCCCACAGTGGCTCTGCTGCGCCCCTTGGCAGCGCCGAGGGGAAGTCCACCCAGGCCCTTGCCCTCAAAGATGAGCCGAGGGCTGTCAGGCGGGTTCCCTCCTCAGGTCACAAGTGGAGGCCAAGGAGAGCTTCGGCCCCGGTGCGCCAGCGCACGGGAGAGGCTGCAGGCCACGGAGCTCACAGGAGGGGCTGCAGGCCACCGTGCCCAGCTCACAGGAGGGGCTGCAGGCCAGTGCGACAGCTCACAGGAGGGGCTGCAGGCCACGGAGCTCACAGGAGGGGCTGCAGGCCACCGTGCCCAGCTCACAGGAGGGGCTGCCGGCCACGGCGCCAGCGCACGGGAGGGGCTGCAGGCCAGTGCGACAGCTCACAGGAGGGGCTCCAAGCGAGGGGTGAGGAAAGCAACGGGCAGAATGGTGCGAGGAACACGAAGCCTCTGGCCAACTGAATCAAAGGGTGGACAGAGTCCGCATTTGCGTTTGTCTCTGTACAAGGACGTTTCAGACGGGAGCACAGGAAACTAATAAATAACTGATAATAAACGAATAAACGTAGAATATCGAGGACAAACGCAGCAGAGGGCAGTGAGTGCAGGGAACAGGTGTGACTCTGACTACCCCAGGGAAGGAGCCGGGCCCTTCTGACTGTGCAGAGGCCCTGGGGGCCTTTAACAGGAGGAAAGGAATGGCCCGCGCACGGGCAGTGAGTCCAGGGAAGCCCATCTGTTGGCTAACTGGCCCTCGCACTTCCTACCTGGGCTCCCACCACAGACCAGGGCCAGGAGCCCTGAATTCAGAAGCCGATTGGGACAAAGAGTAAAGGCAGCCTGGGTTGAGATTTCTCAGACCGGCACTAGAGGGAACAGGGGCTGTTCCTAGGACGCAGCCTTGAGCCGTCAGGGATCACATGAGTGTCTGCAGGCCCAGGCCGGTGGGGGAGCTAGTCAGAGGGGCTGAGACGAGCCTGACCAGAGTGGGACCAAGGAGGGCATCTTTGTCAGGTAGATGGGGAACTGGGCATTTGCGGACGATTGGGAATGGAATTAACTGTGCTCTTCATATATGCCATCATTGCCCGCAGCTAATGAAACGACCGATGGAAACCATAAAAACATTCAGCTGCATTACCCTAGAGAGCCACAAGATGGCGACATGTTCCTTAATGACTTCAGGATGGACAAGGGCCAGCGGGCCAGCTTCTCCCCATGCTGACAACTGATTCCAGTTCTCTTCCTGTGGTTCCCTTAGTTCATTGGCTGGAATTTCTCTGCACCCATGCTTGGTTCCTTTCAGTGTGGCTCTATCGTAAAACAAAACAGAAATATGTTCACTGATTGGGCAACTTTTTTTTTTTATTACTTTTAGGGGGTTCAGCATGGGGGGCTATGGAAAAACTGAAGTACAAGTTATGCAAAAGCAGAGAGAATACTGTACTTCCAAGTGCAGAACACATACACCTCGATTGCCAGCCTGTTGTCTTTGTTCTTTCATTATCCAACCCACACAGGCTGGGAGGCAGGGTAAAGAAATCCCAAATGTCATTTCAATCATGAATATTTTCACAAACATCCTCATAGACATGAATGTAAAGAAAAAATAATGATCTCACTTAAGAACTTAAAAATTATTTGTAACATTACCCAATACCTAGTCCTTAAAAAAAAAATCTCTATTTGCCTCAAATATTTTTTTAACAATGATTTTGTCTGAGTGTGGATCCCCCCAAGGTCCACACATGGTATCTGGTTCCTCTTCTTAAATATCTCTAATCCATAACACCTACCCAAACCTCCAAGCAGCCATCTTTGCTCTTTCGAAAAGGAATTGAGAGCTTGTATTAATAGCTAATTAATAGCTAATCACAGTAATTTCATTACTGTGACCAAAATAACCAACAAGAATAACTTACAAAAGGAAAAGTTTATCTGGGCTCATGGTTTCAGAGGTCTCTGTCCATGGATGGCCCACTCTGTTGCTCTGGGCCCAAGAGGAGGCAGCATATCCTGGTCACAAGGAAGAGGCAGGACATGTCCCTAGTGACCCATCTCCTTCCAGCCATACCTGCCCTCCTAGTTACCACCCAGTCCATGCAAGCTAGGGTGGTCTGATTGGGTTACAGCTCACCACCCACTCACCTCACCTCTGAACATTTCTGCACTAATGAGTTTTTGGGGAGGTGGGGGGAGAGCACCTCATATCCAAACCATAACGAAGATTGATATGGGTGGTGGGAATTCTCACTGATCATAGATCATTGCTTTTAGATTGTTTCTATCATTGCCTTTAGATTGTTCTATGACAAAGGCTTAGGGTGTGTGTGTGAGGGGGGGTGTTTTCTAAAAAGGAAAAAAAATAGAATCCTGTAAATTCATTTTTATTCAGATTAAAGTTAAAAGTATTCTTAATGTCTGTAAATTTGTAATTGAAACTTTTAATCTACAAATCTTAACTCCGTATACAATAAAAAATAATATATTTCCTGTATTAATAGGCAAAATATTAAAGGCACCTGACAGTTTCACTATTCTGAATTAGGAAAACGGGGAAAGAGAAGAATGGAAAGGGAGATTGTTAGAATAGGAAACTGTGGGGCAGGAATGCAGCGCTGTGGGCTCTCCTCAGTGATTAAGGTGTATGGTGGGGATGAGTTACATAGATCTGATAATGTGCAGTTAACACAGGGATGCAGACATGCCCCTCTGGTTTCCTAGTGGCACGTGTACAGTAGTTTCCACAATAAGCAGGCAGATGCA